GTCTGTCAAACTTACCTGCCATGGACTCTTTCATAAGTTCCATGAAATCGTCTTCGGACAATCCAGGGAAAAGTATAATGTCAGTAAGTATTCTTTTAACATCCTTACTTAAACTCTTTGCTGTCTGTACACAAATGACAACTGAGATGTTAAAGTGTCTGAGCTTCTTAAGAATTCGACACATGTCTTGTTCTCTATTCTTTAACAAAGGATGAGAGGCGAAATCATCTAAAATAAGAAGACATCTATGAGGGTAAGTCTTCCAATCGTAAGATTGCAATTTCTTCGAAATGTATTCTATCTCTTTCTGTTTGTTTCTGAAGTGTTTCTTCTCTAATATTCTCTGCATTTCCTCATTTGGGTCTTTAAACTTAGAATTTATATACTCATTTATAGCATTATACTTCAAAACTCTTCTTTGGTACTTCTTTATCCAATCTAACAACTCAGTATCCTTTATACATACTAACTTAGACTTTTTTATAATATCTTTGAACGAATTGACGGTTTGATCGAATTGACCAGAAGTACTACAAATGACTACTAACTCATAGAATGGGTTCTTCTCATCTAGTTCTTGTTGTTGTGCAGCCATTTTAAGATAAGTGAAAGTCTTACCCGACCCAGGTGGTGCAATTAGACCTGTTATACCATTCTGAGCAAATAAGAACTTGTCATGTATAGGCTTTATCTGAGCATTTTCTAACTTCCTCTTGTTCTTATTTAAAACATTCTCAAATTTCTTGTCAATGTCAGCAAACTTTTTTTCTAACATATTTTTAGAAAAATTAAAATTTTTATCTTTTAGAAAATGTCTAGCGATTTCGCTATCTATATTCGAGACAAACTTTTTGACAGCAAAACATCTGTCGACCATAAAATCTTACATAGTGTAAACAAAAAGGTGAATTTGTTCTAAAGTTCTGTTTCTGGGAATATGACAAGAACCATAAAACATTAAGCAGAGCAGTCTTAAAATTTGTCAATGACAGACTTGTTGACAGAGATGACGCCGATTGGAAAGATGAAGTCCAACAAAAGTTCTTAGAATGCAAAGAAGACACATGCGCTGTTCTTGAAGATGAAATAGAAAACAGAATAGATGAGCTATTAAAGGACAAAGAACTTTTACATAAATATGGTTGCGCCAAATTTGACATAACTCCACCAGAGAAGAAGAAGAAGAGAAAAGAAAGAAAAGAAAGTAGAAGAAGAGAAGAAAGAACCTGAACCAGAGAAAAAGAAATTTGACATGTAAAAATAAAATTTTATTTTAGAACATTTCTGGGTCAATGTCAATGTTCTCTTCCTCTTTAGGAGCAAACACTGGCTTAGACTCTAAAATCTTTTTACCCAACTTACCTTGAACTTCAACTATCTTAGACTCATAATATTCATAGTCGTCTGCTTTCTTTGGTTCATAAGGTATAACAAGTTTGTATGCTTTGCCTTCTTTAAGGTTTGAGAACCTTCTGTCAAAATTTTCTTTGACTGCTAACAAACCTTCTATGTCTAAGTCTTCAAATTTCGCACCATTTTTAGTCACAATAGCAAACTTAACTGGTTCGATGTTCCAAACTTTGTCAAATGTAGACTTTTCAAAATGGTAGAAGTAAACATTCAAATATATGAATGGGTCTAGTTCTTCTTTAAGTCCTGACATATATTTGTTGACTGAAATATATTTCGTCATCTTTTCTATCGGATAAAAAAATATTTTTTTTTAAAAACGTTTTAAAATGGTATGCCATATAGCTTCTTGAATTTGTTAAGAAGTATTTTAACGTATTTTCCATCTGTATCTCTAGTGTTTACAAAAGCATAGTCTTCCTTAGTAAAACATACTTGTAATTTTCTATAGTTTACGCCGGTATAAAAGTAGAAAGAGTCTTGTTCTTCGCTATAGTAGTAAAACTCAAACGTATGCTTGCCATAGTCTGTAATTTCAATTGCTTCATCTTCTAGTTCGTCGACAAATTCGAATACAATATCTCTAAATTTGCTTTTGTTCTTATTGTTTTCAGAACGAGTAACCCAGCGTAAGTTTTCAAGTCTATTGTCGCTTCTTATACGGTTTATATGGTCTACAAAAGGTAGATTGTTAGGATTCGGTATAAAATGAGTTGCAATGACAACATGTTTTAAATAGTGTTTTCCACCCATCTTCATCCTAGCATATCCTTTATTTTGCTCCCATTCGCTTAAAACTCTTTTTGTCTTTTTGTTTCTGACTTCAAAAGGCTCACAACAGTGAATTTCATATTTCTCATCTAACAAACAAGTTTCCCAACGGTCTTCTCCAACAAACTCAGCGTACATTTCAAATAAAATAAAAAAATATATTTTTTTATTCTTGAGCTATTTTTTATTCTTGACTTTGTTGTTGCATTTGTTCCATTTGTTGCATTTGTTGTTCTTGAGCTATTTGTTGTTGAAGTTGTTCTTGTAGTACAATACTTTCACCAGTTGCATCTTCCAATTCGAAACTTTCTGCCGTCATTGACAAATACATAGGACATAAAAGTTTTACAGGAACAAAGTTTGCGTCGACTAAGGTTAAGTTTATGTTTGCTAAAGTGTTTGAGTTTACTAAAGCTGAAAACTCTGCATTCGAATGAACAATAGGCAAACCAGCAGAGAAAGTGTTGTTTATACGCATGAGTATCTTTTGGTCATAGTAGTTTCTGTCGATATTCGAATAGCACTTTGAACCTAAGTTTGAAACAATATATAAAATAGGTGTACTTAAAGTCAATGGAACAGACAAACCTTGTATGACACCTTTTCCTGTTATAGGAAACTGTTGGTAGTAAAAACCAGATATAAGTTTTGTATTATAGCTCATATCGTTTATACTAAACTCAGTCGGACATCCAAACATAATGAAACCTGCTCTAGTTGCAGCACATGTTACATCCGTACGTAAAGTATTAAATAAGTCAACAAAACCTGTTGGTGGTATATCTGAGTAAGTATCTTCAAAGAAGTATTTTTTACCATTCACAACAATAAAATCTTCTGGTGTCAAAAGAGCAAAACAGGCTTTAGTCGTCATCGTGTTTAAGGTCAGTTTACAATATCGTCCTTGAGGACTTTGTAAGTTTGTTGTTATAGAATTATATGACTCAGGGTTTTTAGTCGTAATAGTATAAACCATTATGTCTTCTGCCATTTACTTAGCAAATAAATTTTAATGAAATGTTGTGGTCGTCAAATATTTTTATAACGTCTGGGAAACTATACTTTAAGTTCAACGTTTCACCTCCTTTCATAACGTATATCTTGTCAATGACATTATATGAAACACCACAGCAACTAACGTCGGGTTCTATTTCTTTGATGTTTATATCGTCTGCCTCTGTCAAAAGTTTCAATAGTTCTTTCAAAACTTCATGAGGTGCGATGACATATGAGTTCACTTTTACAGGGTTGTGTTCGACCAAGTTTAACATTATACCCAAAGCTTGACAAATCTTCTCCTGAGTTTTAAGTTTGTCTTTAAGTTGTTGGTAGTCGTTTCGAATATCTGCAACAGAACTTAAGTCTCTGCTAACTTCAGGGTATGTTGGTTGTTCTTTTACAGGAACTATTGTTATACCATCTTCGTCTTCGTATGGTTTCCCCACTTCAACATCTCTTTCTTTGACATTGACAACAACACTTTGACTGTTTGTTTGAGTTGGTGAATTTAACTTCACATCTGCCACCGCCATTAAACCTTTTGAAACACTTACGCTTCTATTTTTCGGAAATGACATTTTACTTCGAATAAAAAGATGGACGTATTTGAGTATCTCTTCGAATTGAAGCAAAACAAAGTTTACACACAAACAATACAAATACATTGACAGAATAGTTCTTTACACAAACAATGGAAAATGTTATAGAATAGCAGTCTTTGCTGAACCAAAATATTTTCATAAAGCAAAGAAAGTTGGTATAACTGAAATGGTGAAAGTTCTTGAAGCAGACAAAAATATAACTTCAAAACTTACAGATATTTCTAAAGGTAAGTTTATAATACAATACTATGTCAAAACTGGCGTACTGTCAATATTTGACGGAGAGAAGTCAGTTCAAGAACAACTTACTGACCTGCTGCCAAAATCTGCTCGATGGAAGCTGTCGTTATGCCAATCTGAGGAGCCCCAGCAGGTTTCATCGAACGAATCTTCAAAAGAGCATCTTCCGTGAAAAGTGCTATTGGTTTTGTAAACTTCATTGCTCTCAGTTCATGTGGACCGTCTCTGTCACCAGTATATTGTATTTGTACAGTACCAACAGTTGAAATACCACCCATAAAGTCTTCTGAGTCAGCAAATGGAATGCCAAGCCAAAAGTTTGAACGGTCTCCATTTGTATATTGAGTTTTTTGACTTCCTGTATGGGTCCATACTTTCACATATGGCATAATAGAACTTTGCATTTCAGGGTTAATGGTTGTTGTGAAGTTGTTGTTAAAGTTCATAGCATCTAATGTCAAGTTGTATGACCTCATATCCTCAACTGTAGAATATTCTTCTCTTGGATAATATTTGCCATCTATGTTTATATGATATTTAATACCAGGGTTGTAGAAACAAGAATAGTCATTTATAGTTCGTCTGAACAGTACAAACATAGTATCTGCGTGTTTCATTGCAGTTGTTAAAGCAATATCTGTTCTTGCCACCTGCGGTTTCCTGGATTTTGGCTTTCCAACTTCACCTGCAAGTCTTTGACAGATATTTGGTGTATAGGGAACATAAGTGGAACTGCAATATATTTGGCAGCTAAAGCATTTGAAATATCTGGGTCCAACATATAGACTGCAAGTCTGCTTTCTATTCTCTTGCATTCAAACTTTTCGCATGTGAACCTAACTGGGTCCCAAGCAGTTCCAGCAGCATTGAAAAATACTTTACTTCAGTGTTGAGGTTTGAGAAACCAAAGTCTAAGTCAACTTTGTCTTTGCAAAATTCGGCGAATGACGTTTGATTTGCTCCCTTTACGTCTGTAAGAGTGAATGGGTCTTGCGTTGGTGCAATGACTAAGTTATTTTTGCTTGGAGTAAGTTCGATAGAAATTTTTCCTGCCCAGTTTGGCAAGTATCTTAAAAACCTGAAGATGAGGAAAGATGACAAAGGAACTCTAAGTTTCAGTTTTACTTTAGTGACAGCATTTCCATCTGAACCAGAAAGGTTAACATAAACTCCTGGAACGTTAGGGTCAAGTCTTCTTATTTTCTCAATAGTTGCATACTGGTCTGTTTGTTCTCTAGCTTGTGGTTGTACTGAGTTTCTCAAAGCGAACCATTCATAGTTTGCCCATGTTACTGTTTGAACTAAGTCAGAGTTAGAATATATCTTATATCCCATAAAAACTTCTGGAGCATATTGGTATCCGACATAGAAAATTCCATTGCAACCTTTCTTGTCAGACAACTTGGCAGAAGGTTTTATTTCAATGTCTTGTTCCACGTATAAGAAAGAGTTGTCAATAGAAATAATATGAAACCTGTCGCAAGCAATATCTACTGTTGTTGAAGAACCTTCTCCAAACTCACCTACGTTTCCATAAGAAACAGCAGTTGTATATTCGTAAGTTCCAGGAACTATTTCTGACCTTCTAATGGCATTGTCGCATTCGTTATACCATTCGGAAACATTTCCATTCATAGCATCCAAAACTGTTGGCGTTATATTCTGAGCGGCGTACATTTCATATGGTAAAATATAGAATAGTTGGGTTTATATGTCATAATAGAACCCACTCCGACCAGGCTTTACTTTCTTCCTGACTGAGTTTTTAACTCTTCTTTTTCCTTCATTGCCCTCTGCTTGAAGTTGTTGCATCTTTGCATTATGTTCATCTAGTATGTTGCAAATTTCCCATGTCCTTTTTGCCTTTTGGCTCTGGTCGCCCATCTCAGGTAACCTATATCCTAGAAAGAGTTTGTCATAGTCTGTATTTGAGTCTTCGCGTATTGTTTTGCATGACTCTTTCCTGAGTTTCTGGTTCAAGCTCTTCAAACAGTGCCTGTCCATATGGAATATGCTCGTTTCCAAATATATGTTTTTGTAGCCATTCTGGTTTTCTTTCCATGTTACCAACTATATCTTTTGTGAATGGGAAAGCTTTTACCCAATCTTTCAGTCTTGCGTCGTTTATTTCTGTAGTTGGTTTTATTTTGTCAAGGAACATGTTTTTCAATACTAACATTTCATTTGGTACTGTCCATTTGAGTTTTCTTAAATATTCATCCCTTCTCGATTCATCGCCTGCAAAGTAAGTTTTTATGACATTTTGTAAACTTTCGTTTGCAAGGTCATGTACAATAGGTTCTCTTCCTTCTCCCTCCCTAACTTTCTTTCTAAACTCTTCACCAAATATACCATCTCTATGGTTCTGTGTAGTTCTTTGAGATAAATGTTCTAGAACGTCAGGTGTTATATTTCCATCAGCCCATGTTCATTTCATACTGGTCCAAAATATCTGCATCTTTCATATCTTTCAATGGCATTAAAGCCGCGCTTAAAATACCAGCTATATCTTGTTCACCATTGACTTCCATTGCGTCTACAACTTCTTGGAATTGTGGTTGTAAGTTTATGAACCACCTATCTGGATTAGCTTTATGACCCCATCTCATTGTAGTTCCATCGTCTGCAGAAACAAAAGTAGGTTTGTTTCCATCTTGGCTAGGTTCTGAATGAACTTTAAACAATGTTTCATTTCTATATGTTTTCTTGAAATTTAACCTTTTATCTTCACCGAGTTCATCCGAAGATTGAACGTTAAATGCTCGTAAGTAAAAAGGGTTGTTGTATTTGTGTACATTTTCTTTCAGTACTTCCATTCTATGCTGAATATTTTCATCTGGTGTTGGAGTCTTTTGTATGTCGGCAAACATTTTTCGATATTCTTCTACTATGTCAGCCGAATTTTTTTTAGACTCTTGGAAATATTCCATATTCTCCGCATACTCTTGTTGAGGGTCAAGATTTTTCGGCTGTTCCAAATCTTCATCTAGTTCTGTGAAGTTAGTTTTCCAAAGGAGTGACTTGTTCGTTTCCTTCAGGCTCTTCTAGCTGTTGTTGCTGAACTATTTCTTCCATGTCTGGTTGTATCTGAACTATTTCTTCCTGTGGAGTTTCTTGTACCTCATCTGCTGGCATTTCATATATTCCGAGACCGTTTTTAACAATTTCCCTATCTACGTCATCCGCATTCATAAGCTTTTTGTTCTTTCGTTCCGTCTCTATTTTTTACGCGTTTCATGACGAAAGTTGAATTGTCATTTAGCTCTGACATCAAATATCTCGGAGTAAATTCATCCATGTCATTTGGATGATATGCTATTAAATCATATCCCTTAGCGAGCTTGTATTTTCCAGGTTTGAGATTATATCCGTTTGGTGCTGAGCCATAAAGCTAAATAGGTTCGGGTCAGTATTTCCATCCTTGAACTTTCCAATAGCTTCTTTATATCTGTCACTAAAGTCAACAGTATCTGGGAAACCACACTCTTCTTTAAGCATTTTTAAGAATTCTTGGTTTCCTTGTTCTCTACTTCTTTTATGTCCTTGCTCTGTTTGTGGTTGTTGTTGTGTTGGGTTTGGTGCTGGTTGTGGAGGTGGTTGTTGTGTTGGATTTTGAACTGTTGGTTGTTGTGTTGGGTTTTGGTGGCATGCCTGTGTCTGTGTCCATGTGACGATGTAAATGTTCTAGTAGTCCTGGTGCAGGTGCTTCTCTTGGAGGGTTTGGTGGTATATAAGTTCCACCAGCTGGCACATATGTTCCATCTGCAGCGTAATGTCCTATCTGACTTTTCGTTTTTAAGAAAGCATTTACTAGGTCTGTTTTGGTCTGTTGTAACTCTTTTTCTTGACTTTTCACAACAGTTGCTCTAACGGCGTCATAGGCACTTTGAACTGCCTGTCCTCGTTGCTGCATCTGTTATTTTCGTCATATTTTGTGCTACTTCTTTTAACTCTTTGTCGAAACCTTCAGACTTCAGTTTCTTTCCAGATGAGAAGTCGTTCACTAGTTTCACCTTACTATGAAGAGCTTCGAAGGCATTCTTAAAAGTCAGCATTCGTTAAAGCTTCATTTGAACTGTCTTCATCCGCTTGTATTTTTGTCCTTATTGACCCTATAAGCTGGGCTGCTTTAGCGTTGGCTTGGGCATCTAACCAGTCATTGTTAGCTTTTATATATTCTGCGCTTTTCATTGCCTTTTGCATGGCTGCGTCGTTATTTTTACTTTCTTGTGCTAAGTTTTCATACTGTACACGGTTTGGTTTTGCAACTGTAAAAGTTTTTCTGCCTTTACATTTGCTTCAACTTCTTTTTTATACTCATCGCTATCCATATATGTCTTCAGGGCTTTTTGTTTTATCTCTTCATCTTTCAGTATTTTATATTGAGTAGTATGGTTTTTCAAATTTATGACATCTTGTTCCATTTTTGCTACTTCTGCTGCTTTTTCTGACACTTTTTTCGCATATTCCTCTGTACTTAGTTCTTTCAGTTGTTCTTCTTTCTTCTTTTTCTCTACGTTTAACTCATTGAGTTTCTTTGTGTGTCTGTCATATTCTAGTTCTTTTCGTTTTCACTTATTTGTTTCTGTATGTCTATGTTTGACTTTTTGACATCTGTTATTTGATTTTTGAGTGAACTCAAATTCATTTGACTTTGAGGGTTATAGGCTGTTTCCGTCTGCAGCTCCACCATAGCCTGCCATTTTCGCTAAAAGTGCCGCTCTTAAACCTCCACTCTGTGCACCAAGAACTCGTTTTAAGAGCATAGGATTGCTTGACATTTGTTGCAACATAGTGGGGTCATTCAGCATTTGTTGTTGCAACTGTTGTTGTGGTGTCAGTTTTACTATTGGATGTTTCATGCTCTCTCCTCTTACGTATTATTCTTACGTAGCTTACGTGGCATTTTAAGTGAAGTTAAAAAGCGGTTTTTGACAGAATGTTTATTGTGACTTCTTCGTAAAAGAACTTTGTTAAGACTTCTTCGTAAAGACTTTGTTGAGATTTCTTCGTAAAGACTTTGTTGAGATTTCTTCGTAAATGACCCAAAAATATATTTTTGGTGAAGAGGTGAGATTTCACCTCTTTTTTCACCTCATTTCTCACCTCTTGAATTTTCATGAATTTCTTCGTAAAGACTTGTTAAGACTTCTTCATCTAATTTCTCATGAACTTTCTTGTCTATGTTTTGTCAAGACTTCTTCTTCGTAAATGTTTTGTCAAGACTTCTTCTTCGTAAATGACCCTAGTAGTATATTTTTGGTGTAAATTTCATGAAAATTCAAGAGAGGGTGAAAAATTAGGTGAAAAAACAGGTGAAATCTCACCTCTTCACCTAAAATATATTTTTGGTGTAAATTTCATGAAAATTCAAGAGGGTGAAAAATTAGGTGAAAAAACAGGTGAAATCTCACCTCTTCACCTAAACATTATTTTTGTGTAAATTTCATGAAAATTCAACGGGTGAAAAAAGAGGTGAAAAACAGGTGAAATCTCACCTCTTTCACCTAAACATTATTTTTGGTGTAAATTTCATGAAAATTTCAAGAGGGTGAAAAATTAGGTGAAAAAACAGGTGAAATCTCACCTCTTCACCTAAAATATATTTTTGTCTGATTTTACGAAGAAGTCTTGACAAAACATTTACGAAGAAGAAGTCTTGACAAAACATTTACGAAGAAGTCTTTGACAAAACATTTACGAAGAAGAAGTCTTGACAAAACATTTACGAAGAAGTCTTGACAAAACATTTACGAAGAAGAAGTCTTGACAAAACATTTACGAAGAGTCTTGAAAAGTCTTTACGATGAGTCTTGACAAAGTCTTTACGATGAAACTTGACAAAGTCTTTACGATGAAATTCATGAAATTCAAGAGGTGAAAAATGAGGTGAAAAAACAGGTGAAATCTCACTCTTCACCTAAAATAATATTTTTATTGAATTCTGTATAATATTCTGAGTAATATGACAGATGTTTATATAACACTTTCTCCGGTTTATAGGACCTCTCTCATATTCTATCTTGTCATATCAAAACTCATAGTCATGTTTGTCCTCTAAGACTTCATTTATACTAAACATCTTCAGGGCTAGAAGGCACGAAGTGCCTGGAAGCCCCACTACCTTTTTTTTTTTTTTTTTTTTTTTTTTTTGATTTTCCATATAAATCGCGATTTTTTTGAAAAATCGCGACCACAATAAAATCGCAATTCATTAAAAAACGCGATTTTAAAAAAGTCGCGATTTTTCTAAAAAATCGCGATTTATATATTTAAATCGTGATGAAAAAAGTGGTTGCGGTTTTCCCTAATCAACAGATCTAAACAACTTGAATCGATTGTTTGTGAACGCGATTCAACAATTTCAACATTACGTGATCAACTATCGAAAAGCGAAAATAAATGTCAATCTATCACAAATGCATTACAACATGCACAAGAACAATTAGAAACATCACGTGTATATGACAAAGAAATTGAAACACTTCGTTCACAACATAATTCATTATTGAAACGAGCCGAAGAAGCAGAACAATGTTTGAGACGATATGAAGAAGAACTTCAATATAAGAAAGAAGAATATACACAATCTATGATTAAACAAAGTTCCACTATTGAAGAATTACAAAATCAACTTATTTCAAGTCATCGCGATTTTGATCTTGCTATTGAACGTCAAAAGAAGTCAGCATCAGAAGCAGAAGAAGCATGAATATTTGCCGAAGACCTTGAACGATCATTCAATAATTTACAACGCACAGTTCTTCGAATTCAAGACAAAATTTCTTCACACAATTCACCAAATCCATCTCCATCCAAAAGAGTTTCATTCCCTGGAACATCATTATCATTATCAACATATTCTGATTCTAATTCTAATCCTCAACAAAATTAATTATTAATTTGTTATTTATTTGTTTGTTATGATAATTATTATGTAAAATGTTTCATAATATTTAAGTAATGTTTGCAAAACTATAGCTACTTTTGCTTCAATGTTAACTGTGTGTATGATGACCGATATTAGTATTTGTGGAATATTTTTGACTTCATTAGATAATGTTGTGATTTCGGAATAAATTTTGTCGTTCATCTTATAATTCATGGACCATACATGTTTTTAATGGTGGAGAATAGAGGATAGACTATACTCAGAAAAATTAATCTTAACAAAATTAGAAAAATCAAATATTTCTGAATTTCATTCTTATTTTATTGATAGCAAAGGTTCAAAGAAGGGAATTGAAATATGAATAATATACCTTCCTTCTTTATATTTGACTTGTTGTTTGATAACTGTTTCTCGATGTCGAGGATTGAAAGGAATTAAACAATTGTGAGTTGAAAAATATGAAAATAAATGATAAGATGTAATAGAATCAATATTGAATATATCTATGATAGAAATTCTAGTATATGTTAAATTATCAATATGACAATTTTCAATTCTTAATAAATCAGCATCATTCCAAATCAATGGTCCATTTCCAAAATTTCCAAAAATTGAACATTTAGAAATAGTCATTATTCCAGTACAAAAAATGATACCATCACTTGTACTTGATTGTGAATTATTTAGAATATTACTATTAATAAGATAATATGTTGGTAAATCTTCACTACAATGCATAAGAACCCAACAATCGCAATGATTTTGACAAATTGAACAAAAATTAACTTTTCCAATTGAATGATGAGGTCCTATTCCATATGCAGCTCCATAACCTTCGACATTGTTATTACTAATATTTGAATAACTAATATTAATAATACCACAGTTACAATAAATAGTATCAAATCCTTCTTCTTTTTTCCCACATGATGAAACACAACTTTCAAGAAAATAATTAAAATTTCCATCGGATAAAGATGAACGTGAATGTTGTCCTCTATTTGATGCTTGCGAATATAATGAACAACATCGATGTTGAATAACTGAATTATGACCGTTCACGTAAACAGAACCTCCATAGTCACTCCTTTTGCAGTCATTGAATGAACATTCGGAATGTAATAATTTGATATCATCCGTTGTAATTGAAATAGCACCATCTTCAAGATCATGAAAAAAACTAAGTAAAACAAAACACTCGGAATTAGTAACAGAAATTGAACAGTTAATACATGTTTCTGGATTTGTTTTGTTATTTTCACCATATAATTCATACCAGATGTTTTTTGGAATATTTTCAAAATGATGAAAGTGATAATCTCTCCGAAGAGAGAAAATCACTGAAACGTGACATTAAAAAATTCCAACACTTTTTATTAATTTTTTTCTTTGATTCATATTTTCTTCCGAATTAGAAGGAATATATTGATGAATCAGTATATCAAAACAACTAATTTCATTAAATTGGCAATGCTCATGACAGAGATTCGACAAGTATTAACGAGTTTCTAAAGATTGTCTAGTAATACAATGTTTTTTATCAACATATTTAATTAATTTGTTATTACATACATCGAAAATATATAAGTATAACGAATTTATATCAGAAAACAGTATTTTTAATTACAAAATGAAATCAACCTTTCAAAAACTGTATTATTTGATCTAATAATAATATAAAATCAATTTGTTTGTATTTATTTGATGATATTGATATTTTACATTAAACAAATTATGAAGATCACATAGATTATATATACAAAACTATTCTTGTTAATTAATCATTTCAATAATGAAAATGAAACAAGAAATTGTGAACTCGCATACAGAAGATATTTATTCGAATTGCATCAAGAGTTATATTTATGAAATTCGAAAACTAAAAGAAGATTTAAAAGTTTCAAAAACAGAGTGTGAAAGTCAGAAGAAAGCATCAGTCAAAATATCAGAAGAATTAATTAAGATCAAACATGAAAACGAACGATATAAGAAAACAAATATCGAACTTACGAAAAATCTTGATCATCTTAAGAATATTCAAGAAGACATTTTGAAAAATCAAAACTTGAAATGAAACGAATGAATAACGAATTAACATCAAGTCAGAAAGAAGTCGAAAATCTTAAACGAAAGATATCAGAACTCAACGAAAGGAATCGAGAATTAATTTCATCACGTGAATATTACACAATCAAACTCACAGAGTCGGAATCAGAATGTATTTCACTTCGAAAACAGTTAACAGAATCGAATACAAAACTCTCATCATTAAATTCAGAACTTTTATCACTCAAATCAGAATACAACGAAATGAAAGAAAGTTCAGACAAACTTTATTCTATCAATCAAAAATTACAATCACAAGTTTCTTTCAACGAACATCGATATGCCGAACAAAGTTCATTCATCGAAGATCTTAAATATCGTGTTATTTCACTTGAAGAATCAATCAACAGATCTAAACAACTTGAATCTATTGTTTGTGAACGCGATTCAACAATTTCAACATTACGTGATCAACTATCGAAAAGCGAAAATAAATGTCAATCTATCACAGATGCATTACAACATGCACAAGAACAATTAGAAACATCACGTGTATATGACAAAGAAATTGAAACACTTCGTTCACAACATAATTCATTATTGAAACGAGCCGAAGAAGCAGAACAATGTTTGAGACGATATGAAGAAGAACTTCAATATAAGAAAGAAGAATATACACAATCTATGATTAAACAAAGTTCCACTATTGAAGAATTACAAAATCAACTTATTTCTAGTCATCGCGATTTTGATCTTGCTATTGAACGTCAAAAGAAGTCAGCATCAGAAGCAGAAGAAGCACGAATATTTGCCGAAGACCTTGAACGATCATTCAATAATTTACAACGCACAGTTCTTCGAATTCAAGACAAAATTTCTTCACACAATTCACCAAATCCATCTCCATCCAAAAGAGTTTCATTCCCTGGAACATCACTATCATTATCAACATATTCTGATTCTGATTCTGATTCCAATCCTCAAGAAAATTAATTAATAATTTATTATTTATTTGTTTGTTATGATAATTATTATGTTAAACTGTTTCATAATATTTAAGTAATGTTTGCAAAACTATAGCTACTTTTGCTTCAATGTTAACTGTGTGTATGATGACCGATATTAGTATTTGTGGAATATTTTTGACTTCATTAGATAATGTTGTGATTTCGGAATAAATTTTGTCGTTCATCTTATAATTCATGGACCATACATGTTTTTAATGGTGGAGAATAGAGGATAGACTATACTCAGAAAAATTAATCTTAACAAAATTAGAAAAATCAAATATTTCTGAATTTCATTCTTATTTTATTGATAGCAAAGGTTCAAAGAAGGGAATTGAAATATGAATAATATACTTTCCTTCTTTATATTTGACTTGTTGTTTGATAATTGTTTCTCGATGTCGAGGATTGAAAGGAATTAAACAATTGTGAGTTGAAAAATATGAAAATAAATGATAAGATGTAATAGAATCAATATTGAATGTATGTATGTGAGGTTCAATGTCATATGTTAAATTATCAATATGACAATTCTCGATTATTAATGGATTAGCACCAATCTCAATTAATGATCCTTTTCCAAAATTTCCAAAAATTGAACAATTAGAAATAGTCATTTTTTCTGTACAACAAATGATACCAAGAAATGAGTTTGATTGTGAATTATTTAGAATATTACTATTAATAAGATAATATGTTGGTGAATCATTACTATAATGCATAAGAACCCGATAATCGCAATGATTTTGACAAATTGAACAAAAATTGACTTTTCCACTTGAATGATGAGGTCCTATTCCATATGCAGCTCCATAACCTTCGACATTGTTATTACTAATATTTGAATAACTAATATTAATAATACCATGGTACAATAAATAGTTCTAATCCTTCTTCTTTTTTCCCACATGATGAAACACAACTTTCAAGAAAATAATTAAAATTTCCATAGGATAAATATGAACGTGAATGTTGTCTCTATTTGATGCTTGTGAATATAATGAACAACATCGATGTTGAATAACTGAATTATGACCGTACACGTAAACAGAACCTCCTTCACTCCTTTTGCAGTCATTGAATGAACATTCGGAATGTAATAATTTGATATTATTCGTTGTAATTGAAATAGCACCTCCTTCAAGTCATGAAAAAAACTAAGTAAAACAAAACACTCCGAATTAGTAACAGAAATCGACAATTAACGAAGTTTTAGGATTTGTTTTGTTATTTTCACCATATAATTCATACCAGATGTTTTTTGGAATATTTTCAAAATGATGAAAGTGATAATCTCTCCGAAGAGAGAAAATCACTGAAACGTGACATTAAAAAATTCCAACACTTTTTATTAATTTTTTTCTTTGATTCATATTTTCTTCCGAATTAGAAGGAATATATTGATGAATCAGTATATCAAAACAACTAATTGCATTAAATTGGCAATGTTCATGACAGAAATTCGACAAGTATTAACGAGTTTCTAAAGATTGTCTAGTAATACAATGTTTTTGATCACACATATTTAATTAATTTGTTATTACATACATGGAAAATATATAAGTATAACGAATTTATATCAGAAAACAGTATTTTTAATTGCAAAATGAAATAAACCTTTCAAAAACTGTATTATTTGATCTAATAATAATATAAAATCAATTTGTTTGTATTTGTTTTATGATATTGATATTCTACATTAAACAAATTATGAAGATCACATAGATTATATATACAAAACTATTCTTGTTAATTAATCATTTCAATAATAAAAATTAAACAAGAAATTGTGAACTCGCATACAGAAGATATTTATTCAAATTGCATCAAGATTTATATTTATGAAATTCGAAAACTAAAAGAAGATTTAAAAGTTTCAAAAACAGAGTGTGAAAGTCAGAAGAAAGCATCAGTCAAAATATCAGAAGAATTAATTAAGATCAAACATGAAAACGAACGATATAAGAAAACAAATATCGAACTTACAAAAAATCTTGATCATCTTAAGAATATTCAAGAAGACATTTTGAAAAATCAAAACTTGAAATGAAACGAATGAATAACGAATTAACATCAAGTCAGAAAGAAGTCGAAAATCTTAAACGAAAGATATCAGAACTCAACGAAAGGAATCGAGAATTAATTTCATCACGTGAATATTACACAATCAAACTCACAGAGTCCGAATCAGAATGTATTTCACTTCGAAAACAGTTAACAGAATCGAATACAAAACTCTCATCATTAAATTCAGAACTTTTTTCACTCAAATCAGAATACAACGAAATGAAAGAAAGTTCAGACAAACTTTATTCTATCAATCAAAAATTACAATCACAAGTTTCTTTCAACGAACATCGATATGCCGAACAAAGTTCATTCATCGAAGATCTTAAATATCGTGTTATTTCACTTGAAGAATCAATCAACAGATCTAAACAACTTGAATCTATTGTTTGTGAACGCGATTCAACAATTTCAACATTACGTGATCAACTATCGAAAAGCGAAAATAAATGTCAATCTATCACAGATGCATTACAACATGCACAAGAACAATTAGAAACATCACGTGTATATGACAAAGAAATTGAAACACTTCGTTCACAACATAATTCATTATTGAAACGAGCCGAAGAAGCAGAACAATGTTTGAGACGATATGAAGAAGAACTTCAATATAAGAAAGAAGAATATACACAATCTATGATTAAACAAAGTTCCACTATTGAAGAATTACAAAATCAACTTATTTCAAGTCATCGCGATTTTGATCTTGCTATTGAACGTCAAAAGAAGTCAGCATCAGAAGCAGAAGAAGCACGAATATTTGCCGAAGACCTTGAACGATCATTCAATAATTTACAACGCACAGTTCTTCGAATTCAAGACAAAATTTCTTCACACAATTCACCAAATCCATCTCCATCCAAAAGAGTTTCATTCCCTGGAACATCACTATCATTATCAACATATTCTGATTCTGATTCCAATCCTCAAGAAAATTAATTATTAATTTATTATTTATTTGTTTGTTATGATAATTATTATGTAAATGTTTCATAATATTTAAGTAATGTTTGCAAAACTATAGCTACTTTTGCTTCAATGTTAACTGTGTGTATGATGACCGATATTAGTATTTGTGGAATATTTTGACTTCATTAGATAATGTTGTGATTTCGGAATAAATTTTGTCGTTCATCTTATAATTCATGGACCATACATGTTTTTAATGGTGGAGAATAGAGGATAGACTATACTCAGAAAAATTAATCTTAACAAAATTAGAAAAATCAAATATTTCTGAATTTCATTCTTATTTTATTGATAGCAAAGGTTCAAAGAAGGGAATTGAAATATGAATAATATACTTTCCTTCTTTATATTTGACTTGTTGTTTGATAACTGTTTCTCGATGTCGAGGATTGAAAGGAATTAAACAATTATTAGTTGAAAAATATGAAAATAAATGATAAGATGTAAGAGAATCAATATTGAATGTATCTATGTGAGGTTCAATGTCATATGTTAAATTATCAATATGACAATTCTCGATTATTAATGGATTAGCATTATTATAAATCAATGGTCCATTTCCAAAATTTCCAAAAATTGAACATTTAGAAATAGTCATTTTTCGATAACAACTAATGATACCATAACTTGTACCTGATTGTGAATTATTTAGAATATTACTATTAATGAGATAATGTGTTGGAGAATCAATACTATAATGCATAAGAACCTGATAATCGCAATGATTTTGACAAATTGAACAAAAATTGACTTTTCCAATTGAATTAAATGGTGCTATTCCATATGCAGCAGCATAATCTCCGACATTGTTATTACTAATGTTTGAATAACTAATATTAATAATACCATGGTCACAATAAATAGTTTCTAATCCTTCTTCTTTTTTCCCACATGATGAAACACAACTTTCAAGAAAATAATTAAAATTTCCATAGGATAAATATGAACGTGAATGTTGTCCTCTATTTGATGCTTGTGAATATAATGAACAACATCGATGTTGAATAACTGAATTATGACCGTTCACGCAAACAGAACCTCCTTCACTCCTTTTGCAGTCATTGAATGAACATTCGGAATGTAATAATTTGATATCATCCGTTGTAATTGAAATAGCACCTTCTTCAAGGTCATGAAAAAAACTAAGTAAAACAAAACACTCCGAATTAGTAACAGAAATCGAACAATTAACGCAAGTTTTAGGATTTGTTTTGTTATTTTCACCATATAATTCATACCAGATGTTTTTTGGAATATTTTCAAAATGATGAAAGTGATAATCTCTCCGAAGAGAGAAAATCACTGAAACGTGACATTAAAAAATTCCAACACTTTTTATTAATTTTTTTTTCTTTGATTCATATTTTCTTCCGAATTAGAAGGAATATATTGATGAATCAGTATATCAAAACAACTAATTGCATTAAATTGGCAATGTTCATGACAGAGATTCGACAAGTATTAACGAGTTTCTAAAGATTGTCTAGTAATACAATGTTTTTGATCAACATATTTAATTAATTTGTTATTACATACATGGAAAATATATAAGTATAACGAATTTATATCAGAAAACAGTATTTTTAATTGCAAAATGAAATAAACCTTTCAAAAACTGTATTATTTGATCTAATAATATATAAATCAATTTGTTTGTATTTGTTTTATGATATTGATATTCTACATTAAACAAATTATGAAGATCACATAGATTATATATACAAAACTATTCTTGTTAATTAATCATTTCAATAATAAAAATTAAACAAGAAATTGTGAACTCGCATACAGAAGATATTTATTCAAATTGCATCAAGATTTATATTTATGAAATTCGAAAACTAAAAGAAGATTTAAAAGTTTCAAAAACAGAGTGTGAAAGTCAGAAGAAAGCATCAGTCAAAATATCAGAAGAATTAATTAAGATCAAACATGAAAACGAACGATATAAGAAAACAAATATCGAACTTACAAAAAATCTTGATCATCTTAAGAATATTCAAGAAGACATTTTTGAAAAATCAAAACTTGAAATGAAACGAATGAATAACGAATTAACATCAAGTCAGAAAGAAGTCGAAAATCTTAAACGAAAGATATCAGAACTCAACGAAAGGAATCGAGAATTAATTTCATCACGTGAATATTACACAATCAAACTCACAGAGTCGGAATCAGAATGTATTTCACTTCGAAAACAGTTAACAGAATCGAATACAAAACTCTCATCATTAAATTCAGAACTTTTTCACTTAAATCAGAATACAACGAAATGAAAGAAAGTTCAGACAAACTTTATTCTATCAATCAAAAATTACAATCACAAGTTTCTTTCAACGAACATCGATATGCCGAACAAAGTTCATTCATCGAAGATCTTAAATATCGTGTTATTTCACTTGAAGAATCAATCAACAGATCTAAACAACTTGAATCTATTGTTTGTGAACGCGATTCAACAATTTCAACATTACGTGATCAACTATCGAAAAGCGAAAATAAATGTCAATCTATCACAGATGCATTACAACATGCACAAGAACAATTAGAAACATCACGTGTATATGACAAAGAAATTGAAACACTTCGTTCACAACATAATTCATTATTGAAACGAGCCGAAGAAGCAGAACAATGTTTGAGACGATATGAAGAAGAACTTCAATATAAGAAAGAAGAATATACACAATCTATGATTAAACAAAGTTCCACTATTGAAGAATTACAAAATCAACTTATTTCAAGTCATCGCGATTTTGATCTTGCTATTGAACGTCAAAAGAAGTCAGCATCAGAAGCAGAAGAAGCACGAATATTTGCCGAAGACCTTGAACGATCATTCAATAATTTACAACGCACAGTTCTTCGAATTCAAGACAAAATTTCTTCACACAATTCACCAAATCCATCTCCATCCAAAAGAGTTTCATTCCCTGGAACATCACTATCATTATCTACATATTCTGATTCTGATTCCAATCCTCAAGAAAATTAATTATTAATTTATTATTTTGTTATTTGTTTGTTATGATAATTATTATGTAAAATGTTTCATAATATTTAAGTAATGTTTGCAAAACTATAGCTACTTTTGCTTCAATGTTAACTGTGTGTATGATGACCGATATTAGTATTTGTGGAATATTTTTGACTTCATTAGATAATGTTGTGATTTCGGAATAAATTTTGTCGTTCATCTTATAATTCATGGACCATACATGTTTTTAATGGTGGAGAATAGAGGATAGACTATACTCAGAAAAATTAATCTTAACAAAATTAGAAAAATCAAATATTTCTGAATTTCATTCTTATTTTATTGATAGCAAAGGTTCAAAGAAGGGAATTGAAATATGAATAATATACTTTCCTTCTTTATATTTGACTTGTTGTTTGATAACTGTTTCTCGATGTCGAGATTGAAAGGAATTAAACAATTATTAGTTGAAAAATATGAAAATAAATGATAAGATGTAATGGAATCAATATTGAATGTATCTGTGATAGTTCAAGTATATGTTAAATTATCAATATGACAATTCTCGATTATTAATGGAAGCACCATTAAATCAATGATCCATTTCCAAAATTTCCAAAAATTGAACAATTAGAAATAGTCATTTCAAAACAACAATGATACCATGAGCTTGTACTTGATTGTGAATTATTTAGAATATTACTATTAATGAGATAATATGTTGGTGAATCAATACTATAATGCATAAGAACCAATAATCGCAATGATTTTGACAAATTGAACAAAAATTGACTTTTCCAATTGAATTATGAGGTGATATTCCATATGCAGCGCAAGCTTCTCGACATTGTTATTACTATATTTGAATAACTAATATTAATAATACCATAACTAAATATATCTCTCCCTTCTTCTTTTTCCACATGATGAAACACAACTTTCAAGAAAATAATTAAAATTTCCATAGGATAAGAAATATGAATGTTGTCCTATTTGATGCTTGTGAATATAATGAACAACATCGATGTTGAATAACTGAATTTGACCGTTACACGCAAACAGAACCTCCTTAACTCCTTTTGCAGTCATTGAATGAACATTCGGAATGTAATAATTTGATATCATCCGTTGTAATGAAATAGCACCTTCTTCAAGTCATGAAAAAAACTAAGTAAAACAAAACACTCGAATTAGAAACAGAAACGACAATTAACACATGTTTTTGGATTTGTTTTGTTATTTTCACCATATAATTCATACCAGATGTTTTTTGGAATATTTTCAAAATGATGAAGTGATAATCTCTCCGAAGAGAGAAAATCACTGAAACGTGACATTAAAAAAATTCCAACACTTTTTATTAATTTTTTTTTCTTTGATTCATATTTTCTTCCGAATTAGAAGAAATATATTGATGAATCAGTATATCAAAACAACTAATTGCATTAAATTGGCAATGTTCATGACAGAGATTCGACAAGTATTAACGAGTTTCTAAAGATTACCTAGTCACTTAATACAATGTTTTTGATCAACATATTTAATTAATTTGTTATTACATACATCGAAAATATATAAGTATAGCACAATTATATCAGAAAACAGTATTTTAATTGCAAATGAAATAAACCTTTCAAAAACTGTATTATTTGATCTAATAATAATATAAATCAATTTGTTTGTATTTGTTTTATGATATTGATATTCTACATTAAACAAATTATGAAGATCACATAGATTATATATACAAAACTATTCTTGTTAATTAATCATTTCAATAATAAAAATTAAACAAGAAATTGTGAACTCGCATACAGAAGATATTTATTCAAATTGCATCAAGATTTATATTTATGAAATTCGAAAACTAAAAGAAGATTTAAAAGTTTCAAAAACAGAGTGTGAAAGTCAGAAGAAAGCATCAGTCAAAATATCAGAAGAATTAATTAAGATCAAACATGAAAACGAACGATATAAGAAAACAAATATCGAA